TATCTTGGCATTTGATATACCTTCCTCACTTAGTTTAATCATTTGTAGCTTTTGATTTAGAGTGAGAGATATGAAACTCTTCAATATATGAAACTCTTCCTTTCCCTTGAATGCCTAGAGGCCATTGTAGGATTATTAATTGGCCTATTTTCCATACAGTTGTATCTCAGGGAATAGAGAGGCCTAAGGAGAGGGAGAGAGACAGGAATGGCTATTGCTGGAGCAGTCAGAACACACACAGCATTTATTGCTTATGTTTGTCATCTTATATGGGCACGGTTCATGGCGGCCCCAAATGATTACAATTGTAATGTCGAAGATCACTGATCACAGATCATCATAACTGATATAATAATAATGAAAAAGTTTGAAATATTGCAAGAATTAGCAAAATGTGTCATAGAGACACAAAGTGAGCACACGCTGTTGGAAAAATGGTGCTGACACACCTACCAGATTCACAGTTGCTGTAAATCCTTATTTTGTAAAGAAAAAAACCCCACAATATCTGCAAAGTACAATAATGCAGAGTGCACTAAAACGAAGTATGTTTGTATAAAAAAAGATTGTGATTAACAATTCAGTTGTAGGGAGTGGAATATCAAAAGATTTCGACTGCTACTACATTTCATTCTGATTTTAAGAGTTGTTACTTTAGCCTCATTACACATTATAGGTGCTATGTAAATGTTCTGTTGTGTATCTTTAATAATTCCTTTTTCTGCTTCTTTTCTAGGTATCACACCTGTGTATCATAATATGTTTGCTTTAATGAGTGAAACAGAAAGGATCTGGTATCCACCCAACCATGTCTTCCATATAGATGAGTCAACCAGGCATAATGTACTCTACAGAATAAGGTACTTTCTTCAGTAAACTAACTTACTTAATGTTGAAAGGCAAAATGGGAGAAATTATCAAATATTTTTAAATTGCAAGGTAGTTAATACCAGAGACCTGAACCAATTAGTTAGCACTCATTTTAAGATTTCATTTAAGATTCTGTTTCTCCATCAGAGAAACTGTTCATACATGTTGTTTAAGTAGAATAGTCTGAGAATAAAGCTGTTTTGGTGGGATGCCACTTAACTCCTTATGATTATAATTAAATAAGTAAAAAAAAAATCAGAATGGGCTTTATTAACAAAATCCTAAATGTTTGGGATATTGCTGGTTTGTGCAATGTTTTGTGCAATAAAATGCAATTTCACATCTTATCTTTATAAAGAACTTTTAAAAAAGTTGTTGTGAAGAAAAGAGACTTTTCCCAGTGTGTATTTGCAGCCTCAAATTGTAAGTTAGTTTATATAATTTATGGTAATGTGTAATGCCTATTTAGAGAAATCTAGTAGTATTTTTTTCCTCGAAAGGATGAAACAAAGATATGTTTGATTTGTGTCTCATAAATACCTGTGATTTTTCTAAGCATTTATATATATATATACACACACATAAAATTCATCATAACTTAAGGAGGTATTAAGATTTCCACATTAAAGATAAAGAATTTAGAGAGCATTGAGAAACAATATTACTCAAATTTATTCATGGTCACACAGCTAGGAATTGGGAGTCAGGTTCAAATCCAAGCCTAGTTTGCTTCATAAGCTTGCCTCTTAACCACCTCATGTGTACTTCATTAAAGAGATAATGTATATATAGTATTTATTATTGTGCCTATCACTTCGTGCTCTCTCAGTAAATTTTAGTATTGTTTTGCTTCTTTCCCTTCCCCTATTCTATATACAAATATGCAATTGGATGTTTTTGCATTTACTGATATCTAATGTATAATTTGCACTGAGTTCAAAAAATTATTTTTGAAATAATTATTGAAAAGACAGTTGGTGAAAAAATCAATAAATGTTCAAATAAATAATAGATGTACAAAAATCAATAGCATTATTATATGCAAGCAACCACTTATATAATAGATAAAGAAGATCCTATTCAATATAGTTACAAAAACCCTTAACTAACCAGGAATGGTTTTAATAAGAGAAAACACAAGACGGTATAGGAAAATTAGAAACTTATTTGAAGAATATGAAGAATTAGGACATAATACTGGAATGGGCAGATGGAATATTACAAAGATCAATTTCTCTTACACTATGTGCTTAGCTCTAAGCCAATTAAAATCCTAAAAAAGGCATTTTAGGGAATTGGACACATTACTATGTTAATTTAGAATTATTAAATAAGATAGCCATGAGAAAGAAGACTTATCTGGGAATTGTAAAATATTTTGTCCCAGGAGATATTTTCACATTATATGAAACTACAAAATGGTATCTATTATTAAAGCCACATAATTAAATTCAGAATCATAACCTAAATAATGAGAATGTTGGGGCCAGTATATCTTGAAAGTACTCCTTCATACATATAGAAACATAATATATGAAGAAATCTTTTCACGTTAATGTGGAAGGGAGAGATTAGTCAATAAATGGGGATGGGATTGTTGATTAGCTGTTTGAATAAAATTTTAGCTTCTTTCTTTATAATGTATATCAGATAAATTAAAGATCAGATTGATATGTAAATAGAAATGTAAAGAAAATCAAACTATAAAAGTCTGAATTGGAACTGAATTCAGGTCCTTGGGAAAATATCATTTAAGCTGCAAAACAATAGAAGAAATCTTATGGGAATGATTGCAATTGTCGACTATAAAAATTTTCAGATGTCCGAAGGTTTCCTCTTAAAATGAAAAGGCAAACTGTAAAGATTGTTTCAACAAATCAGATAAAAGGTTAGTATTCTTATAAGTATAAAATTAAAAACACAGTATCCATTAAACAATTACTTAATGTACATGAAGAAATAGTGTCAGTAGTTATGAGAATAATGCACATAGTTACAACTATTTGTTGGTCTCATAACTAGTGATGTTGAGAATTTTTTGAAAACGCCATTAATGATTTGTTCTTCTTTTGTTAAATATTTCTTCATGTACGTTAAGTAATTGTTTAATGGATAGTGTTTTTAATGCCAACAAATTAGAGGATCAAGATGAAATGGACAAATTCCTAGAAAGACACAAGTTATGGGAACTGCTAAAAGAAAGAAGAGAAAGTTTGAATAGGTCTATGACAAGTAAAGAAATCAAATTAGTAATTTTTATAAAAGCCCAGGCCCAAGTGGCTTCACTTGTGAATTCTGTCACACATTAAGAGAATTATTACCAGTTATTCACAAAAAATAGCAAAGGAAGGAGGATTTCCCAACTATTTCTGTGAGTTCAGTATTACTCTGATAACGAATTCAGACAAAGATGTCTAGAAGAAAAGAAAACTACAGACCAATGTTGTAGGTAGAAAATCAACAAACTACTCGCAAATTGAATCCAGCAATACAACTTGAATATGTCTTATCTGAAATGCTTGCGACCAGAAATGTTTTGGATTTTGGATTTTTTTTTTCAGATTTTCAGAATATTTGCAGAGTATACACTGGTTGAACATACCTAATTTAAAAATCTAAAGTCTGAAATGCTCTAATGAATATTTCTTTTGCACATCAGGTTAGTGCTCTAAAGGTTTTGGATTTTGGAGCATTTCAGGTTTCAGATTTAAAGACTGAATGCCTTCTCTCTATGATCAGAATGAGATGAGGGTAACTACTCTTACCACTCTGATTTAACACTATACTGTAGATTCAGGGTAGGGAAATAAGGCAAGAAAAAGAAATAAAAGGCATTTATATTGGAAAATAAGAAGTAAAACTGTAGTCATCCCACTGTATCCATGGGTTTCACATCCATGGATTAAACCAACTGCAGATTGAAAATATATGGAAAAATGCACAGCAAAAGAAACTACCATCAGAGTGAACAGGCAACCTACAGAATGGTAGAAAATTTTTGCAATCTACTCATCTGACAAAGGGCTAATATCCAGAACCTACCAAGAACTCAAATTTACAAGAAAAAAACAACCCTATCAAAAAGTGGGCAAAGGATATGAACAGACATTTCTCAAAAGAAGACATTTATACAGCCAACAGACACATGAAAAAATGCTCATCATCACTGGCCATCAGAGAAATGCAAATCAAAACCACAATGAGATACCATCTCACACCAGTTAGAATGGCAATCATTAAAAAGTCAGGAAACAACAGGTGCTGGAGAGGATGTGGAGAAATGGGAACACTTTTACACTGTTGGTGGGATTGTAAACTAGTTCAACCATTATGAAAAACAGTATGGCGATTCCTCAAGGATCTAGAACTAGATGTACCATATGACCCAGACATCCCATTACTGGGTATGTACCCAAAGGACTATAAATCATGCTGCTATAAAGACACATGCACACGTATGTTTATTGCAGCACTATTCACAATAGCAAAGACTTGGAATCAACCCAAATGTCCATCAGTGACAGACTGGATTAAGAAAATGTGGCACATATACACCATGGAATACTATGCAGCCATAAAAAAGGATGAGTTTGTGTCCTTTGTAGGGACATGGATGCAGCTGGAAACCATCATTCTTAGCAAACTATCACAAGAACAGAAAACCAAACACCGCATGTTCTCACTCATAGGTGGGAACTGAACAATGAGATCACTTGGACTCGGGAAGGGGAACATTACACACTGGGACCTATCACGGGGAGCGGGGAGTGGGGAGAGATTGCACTGGGAGTTATACCTGATGTAAATGACGAGTTGATGGGTGCTGACGAGTTGATGGGTGCAGCACACCAACATGGCACAAGTATACATATGTAACAAACCTGCACGTTGTGCACATGTACCCTAGAACTTAAAGTATAATAATAATAATAATAATAATAAAAAGAAAGGGGAATAAAACCCAACCTAAAGCTGCCTAAGATTTCACAATATCTATAATTTAGGCACCATTTTGGCATATGTTATATGTATATATAGTATTTTCTTTCTTACATTAAACCTACATTAAACCTTAAAAAAAATAAATGGAAAAAAAGTTTGCTTGTACTGAACATGTACAGACTTTTTCTTGTCATTATTCCCTAAAGAATACAGTATAACAATTATTTACGTAACATTTACATTGTATTAGATATTATAAATAGTCTAGAGATTTTAAAGTATACTGAAGTATGTGCACAGGTTGTATGCAAATAGTATATCAGGAACATGAGTATTTGCAGATTTTGGTATGTGTGGGAGGTTCTGGAACTAGTACTGCATAGATACCAAAGGATGATTGTGTAGTCACAGATTACATGACCTTGCATATTAAAAATCCCAAGGAATTAATAAAAAACTATTAGAACTAATAAATGAGCTCAGGTCAGTTGCAGAATAGAAGATCAATATATAAAAATCAGTTGTATTTCTATACACAGACAAAGAACAATCCAAAAATGAAATTAAAAAAATTTCATTAACAATAGCATAACAAATTTTTAGGAATAAACTTAACAAAAAGTGTAAAATGTATACACTGAGAAATATAAAACATTATTGAACGAAATTAAGGAAACACCTAAATAAATGGAAAGATATCTTATAGAGGACTTCATATTTTTAATATGGCAATACTCCTTAATTGATCTGTATGTTCAGTGCAATTCCTACTGAAATCCTAGCTGTCTTTATTGCAGAAATTGACAAGTTAATCATAAATTTATATGAAAGCAAAGGGACTTAGCATAGCTAAAACAGTCTTGAAAAAGAACAAAGTTTGAAGACTATGCTTCCTAATTTCAAAATTTATTACAAAACTACAGTAATCAAGACAATGTAGTACTAACTTAAGGATGAATATACAGATTAATGGAAAGGAATTGACAGTCTCAATATAATTTCTCACATTGATGGTAATTGATTTTTGATCAGGGTGCCAAGACAATTCATGGGCAAAGAATAGTCTTTTTAAATAATAGTGCTGGGACAACTGGATATCCACATGTAAAATAATGAAGTAAGACATCTACTTCACACTATATACAAAAAAAAAAAAAAAGCTTACAGTGGATCATAGGCCTATATATAAGAGCTAAACTTATTAAAACTCCAAGAAGAAACACAAGTCTTTGTGTACTTAGATTAGGCAGTGGTTTCTTAGATATGACACCAAAAGCTCAAGTGACAAGAAAAATAGTTAAGTTAGACTTTATCAAAGTTAAAAACATTTGTGCGTCAAAGAACACTATCAAAAATGTGAAAAGACAACCCACAAAATGGAAGAAAATGTTTGGGAATCTCATATCTGATAACTGTCTTTATTATCTCCAGAATATAAAAGAATTCTTACAGCTCAACAATACAACTTAATCTAAAAAGTAGGCAAGGGACTTGAATAGACATTTTTCCAAATAAGACATACAAATGGCCAATAAGCATGTAAAAAGATGCCCAACAGGCGGGCCCCAGAGCGGGCTCAGGGGAGCGTGGCATGCCAGGCGCCTCCCGCCCGCCCGGAACATATGGAGGCTGGCCCAGGCGGCGCAGGAGCTGGAGCAGGGCCCGAGTGGGCGTCCGAGCCGGAGCGGAAGTGGGAGAGGGGCTGGAGCGGGGGTCCGCGCCGCGCTGCTGAAGCCTGGCCGGCCGCCCAGACACTGCCTGCGGCCCGGCCATGGCAGAGCCAAGGAAAGGATCTCTATACAAACAAATACGTGGCTGTCAAATTGGAGCTGATGAAGTCCGGGGCCCCACAGCTGCACCTGGGGTACTGGTTCTACAAGCGGCTCAGCGCCACTGAGGGCGCCCCTCAGGTCTACTACCTACTACTTCGGCCTGTGCTGGAAGTACAACGCTGTGGTGCTGGAGCTGCTGGGGCCCAGCCTGAAGGACCTGTTCAACCTTCACGCTGAAGACGGTGCTCCGGATCGCCATCCAGCTGATCGCACGCATGGAGTATGTGCACACCAAGAGCCTCATTTACCAGGACGTGAAGTCCGAGAACTTCGTGGTGTGGCGCCCGGGGACCAAGTGGCAGCTCGCCATCCACATTATCAACTTCGGGCTGGCCAAGGGGTACATTGGCCTTGAGACCAAGAAGCACATGCCGTACTGTGAGCACAAGAGCTTGACAGGCAGGGCGCGCTACATGAACGTCAACATGCAGCTGGGCAAGGAGCAGAGCCACTGCAGTGACCTGGAGGTGCTGGGCCACATGTTCATGTACTTCCTGTGCTGCAGCCTCCCCTGGCAGGGGCTCAAGGCCGACGCGATCATGAGCGGTATAGAATATCGGGAACACCAAGCGCACCACGCCCATCGAAGTGCTCTGCTAGAACTTTCCAGAGGAGATGGCCACATACCTGCACTACGTGCGGCGCCTGGACTTCGAGAAACCCTACTGTGACTACCTGTGGACCTCTCCATCGACCTCTTTGACCGAAGCGGCTTCGTGTTCGACTTTTGAGTACCACTGGCCCAGGAAGCCCTTGGCGACCCCCATCGGCACCGTCCACACCGACCAACCCTCCCAGCCTCAGCTTTGGGACAAAGATCAGCCACACAGCAAAAACCAGGTGCTGACCTCCACTAATGGGGAGCTGAATGTGGACGACCCCACGGCCGGCCAGTCCCGCGCCTATGACGGCGCCTGCAGAGATGGAGGTGGGCGATGAAACCAAATGCTGCTGTTTATTCCCCTTGAATCTTCTCCGTGCAGCCCCTTGGGGCATGAGCTTGTGTGAGGCCCTTGGGGCCCACCGACAGCAGCCCAGGGCCAGACTCTGGCTGGAAGCCGGGACGCAGACTTAAGGGGCCGCGCCTGTCTCGGCCGGCGACCCCATCCCCTAGACGAGGGGTCACTTCCTTCACATAAAACTGGCCAAAGTTTCTACACCTGTGTCTAGTCCGCCCCTCCAAGAGCATTAACTATTTAAAACAAGGAAAAAAGTGGGAGGGAAAACCCCTTCTACCCCCAACCCTGCCCCTCCATTTCTTTGCTGAAGTGAGTAGTGCGATCCTGGAGGCCCTCAGGGCTGAGGCCGGCCCCAGCCCCAGCCCCGCCATCCGCCCCCGTTAGCTTCATAAAGTCTAGCTTCTCTCCCTCGATCCAAAGGCCGTTTTCTGGAGGGGAGGGCAGGCCTGGCCTGGAGTGGTGCTGTGGGGCCATCTTGCCCACGCCCACCTGGGAGGTACACAGGCATTGCTGCCAGGGGTGAGGCTGTGCCCCAGGCTTCCCCAAAACTAAAGGGGAAGGGAGGGGTGGGGCCGCGGCTGAAGCCAGCTCCGCCCCCAAAATGCTGCACCAAAGCTCAGGCGCCGCAGTCACGGCCACTGCAGCCTGGTCCCGGCGAGGGGCAGGTGGGCCCTGCTAGGAGGGTGCTTCTCGAGGCACCTGTTCCCGGAGGCTGTGCTCCGACCCTCAGAACCTGAGGGGGGTGGGCCGGCTGGCGTCGCCCTGCTCGGCCCCTGGGCTCTGCTGCATGGGGCCGCGCGGGCAGGGGGCTTCCTGTCTCTGTGCTCTGCCACCCGGCAAGCAGCCGCAGACGAAATGCCTTAAAGCCCCCGGCTCAGCCCCGCAGGTGTATGTGCAGGGGCCTGGGGGCGGCTCTGGACTGGCTGGCGGTCCCCCAGTGGGTCAGCTTGAGGCCGTGCCCAGGGCGGTGGCCGTGAATCTGGTTTTTGCTTTACCAAGTGTACAGAAATGGCATTTACGTTTCTCTGATGCTCTTTTGAAGCCATACAACTTAGGGGCTTTTTTAAAAAAAAAAGAAAAGAAAAATGACCCCCCCCCAAAAAAGGTGCCCAACATCGTTGGTCATTAGAGAAAAGCCAATCAAACCCACAATGGGATAATAATAGATCTACAAGGATGGCAAAAATCAGAAAGACAAAAATAACAAGTGTTAGAGGATTTGGACTAGTTTGGAAGCCATATATTGCTGTTGGGAATGTAGAGTGGTGCTGCTACTTTGGAAAACAGTTTGGCCGTTCCTCAAAAGGATAAACAGAGTTACCATATGACCCAGCAATTCTACTTCTAGATATATATGCAATAGAAATGAAAACATATATCCACAAAAACTTGTACATGACTCTTCATACCAGCATTATTCACAATAGCAAAATAATAGAAACAGTCCCAAATGTCTGTCCGGCGATGAATGGATACGTAAAAAGTGGTATATTCATACAATGAAATATTAATTTGGCAATAAAAGGGAATCAAGTAATGATACATGCTCTAATGTGGATGAACCCTGAAAACATTATGCTGAGTGAAAGAAGGTAGACAGGCCACATGTTCTAAAATCAGAGTGTGGTGATATTTGTATAATGCTATGAATAAACTAAAAACATTGAATTGTACACTTTAAGTGGGTGGACTTTATGGCATGTGAATTATATCTCAATAAAGGTGTTACTAAAAGACTCAATATAGAGTATTCTTTGTTTCTTTGAAGGACAAGTTTTTAACTTCCATTTCTCCAAAGAAGCAATTATTTGTTTTTATGCCAAATGAGCATTTTCAGATTCTCTACTGGTGTTACTGGATTAAATTATGTTTTTACTTTTTGTTAAGGTTTTATTTCTACATTTTTTGTTTCTTATTGCTTCTACATTTTGTGCACTGAAGGAGGTAGTATATTGATTTTACACTTACATTTCTTGTACTTTCTGCCTATATTAGTGTTATCCACATATCCTTTTGTCTCGAATTTATATTTAATACTGTTAGCTGTGTTTTCTAAGTATGGGATAATACCTTTCAGTATGCTGTAGGTGACTATATATAGATAGTATGTTTGTATATGAACTGTTTGGAAGCTGACCAAATGTTTTTATTATCTTGTAGATTTTACTTTCCTCGTTGGTATTGCAGCGGCAGCAACAGAGCCTATCGGCATGGAATATCTCGAGGTGCTGAAGCTCCTCTTCTTGATGACTTTGTCATGTCTTACCTCTTTGCTCAGGTATGATTATACTATCTTACTTGTACATGTGTTAAATGATAAATATTTTGCTGTTTAGTAAGTCACTTAATCAGGAAAAACTTCACATATGGGAAAATTGCAGTTCTGTCTTGCACAGCAGGTGCAGAGAAGTAACAAAATTGAGTCTTTTTATCACTAGTTTTTAATCCCATGGTTTATGGATAATAGAATCTATTTTATGAAGTTTTTTTGGATTGATCCTTTTGAATTTCTTTTTTTTTTTTTTAGGACTTTAGATCATTTTAAGGATTTCACAAGGTATAGACTGAGGTTTATTTACAGCATGATTCATATAGGCATATGTGGCTAAAATATTAGTAACATTTCTTTAGGGTTTTAAAAAAATTTTTGGATAATTTCAGGCTTACACAATGGACAATGAACTGTAGAGGAAGTAGGCTACATAAAAAATAAGCTATGATAGTTTGTGTAGCTGTTTATAGGAAGGTGACTGGATGTTGATACTTTAGTCTAAGAGCTATATTCAAGTTATTTGTTCACTAATACAGTTATGTCAAATTTTGGTATTGTGTTGGTATTTCATAATGCTTTCTTGTCTAGTACCTTGATTTAAACAGTAATTGAAATATTTTGTCATTAAATAACTTGTTTTTATGTGCTGCTAGACTAATATGAATAGAAACTAAAGGAAGAAAATATATTAGTGCTCTTGGGTAGAAATATGCACTTGGTATCCCCAAGGTATCAGGAGTTCTAAATCTGATTTGCTAATATTGTAGGAAATAAGCCCACAAATCCTCATGGCTCGCGTTTCCGAGAAGAAGCCTAGTAAGGCTAGTTCAGTTTATGAACAACAAAAGGAAAAATATTTCTCTATTGGGGTATGAGACCAACAAACTTTATTTTTATTTTGTTAAGAAATATATAATAAAAATGACCATTTTAAGTATGCAGTTCAGTTGTATTAAATACAAACACATTGTTGTACCACCATCACCACCATCCATCTCCAGAACATTTTTCATATTCCCAAATGGAAATTTCATACCCATGAAACAATAACTCTCTGTTTCCCACCACCAATGGCCGTTCGCAGTCACTATTCTACTTTTGACTATAAATCTGCCTTTTCTGGGTACCTCATACAAATGGAATTATATAGCATTTGTCCTTTTTTGACTGGCTTATTTCACTTAGCATAATGTCTGCTAGGTTCATCCATGTTGTAGCATGTGCCAGAATTTCTTTCCTTTTTAAGGCTGAACAATATTTCATTGCATATGTATACTTATTCATCTGTCGATGGATACATGGGTTGCTGCTGTGAACATGGGTAAACAAATATTTCCTTGAATCCGTTTCCAGTTCTTTTGGATACATACCCAAAAGTGGAATTGCTGGATCATATGGTAAATTTATAATTTTTTTGAGGAACTGCTACATTGTCTTCTGTAGTGGCTGTACTATTTTTCAGTCCTACCAGCAGTGCACAAGTGTTCCAATTTCTTAACATCCTCAACAATGCTTTGCTTTGTTTGATAATAGCCATCCCTATGGGTATGAGGTGGTATCATTGTGATTTTGATGCATAACTTCTGTAACAACTAGTAATCATGAGCATCTTTTCATATGCTTGTTGGCCATCTGTTTGTCTTCTTTGCAGAGATGTCTCTTGTTGGCCATTTGTTTATCTTCTTTGCAGAGATGTCTATTCAAGTCCTTGGTCCATTTTTAAATCAGGTTGTTTGTTTGTTGTTGTTGTATTGTAGAAATTATTATTCTGGATCTTAACTCCTTATAAGATACATGATTTGTACATAGTTTTTCCCATTCTCTAGGTTGCCTTTTCCTTCTGTTACTTGTCTTTTGGTGGACAAAAGTTTTAAATTTGACTGTATTCTAATTTATCTATTCTTTTTTGTTTCTTATGTTTTTGGTGTCGTATCCAAGAAATCATTGCCAAATCCAATGTTATGAAGCTTTCTTTCTGTTTTCTTGCAAGAGTTTTATCGTTTTAGCTCTTACATTTAGGCCTTGGGTCCATTTTGAGTTAATTTTTGTCTATCGTGTAAGGTAAGGGTCCAACTTCTTTTGCTTGTGAATATCCAGTTTTCCTAGCACCATTTGTTGAAAGACTGTCTTTTCTCCATTGAATGGTCTTGACACCTTTGTTGAAAATCATTTGACCACCAACTTACTTTTTTATACAGCTCCTTTATCTTTATAGTCATTATAAAAAGAGAGGGGGATGGAGAGAGGCTTCTGAGAATAGCCTTTTGAAAATAGGATATGATGAGGTTACAACTTTCTGTTGCTTTTACGGGTATATTATTCACCTGTCCTGCAGAGCTAGTTTATTGTGGGGGCAGGCTAGTTAAGTCCCATTTATAAGCCAAGTTTTCCCAAACTATTCATTCAGCTACTTTAGCCTAACATTAATACTGCAATGTAAATTTCTTAAGCTCAAAATTTGTCTGCTACTCAGATGAGAAGGTTTTCTTTCTTATTTTATTTTTTTTGTAGAGATGGAGGTCTTTGATGCCCAGGCTGGCACGATCATAGCTCACTGCAGCCTTGAATTCCTGGGCTCAAGTGATTGTCTTGCTTTAGCCTCACAGCCTCCCGAGTAGCTAGGTACAGGTGTGTGCCACTATGCCTGGCTAATTTTTTTAGTTTTGTTTTTGTAGAGATGGGGTCTCGCTCTATTGTCCAGGCTGGTTTTAAACTCCTGGCTTCAAATGATCCTCCTACCTCAGCCTCCCAAAGTGCTGGGATTACAGGTGTGAGCCACCACACCTGGCCTGAAATTTTCAGTAGTTTTAATTAAATGAAAATTTTGATGGTACATACTATAATATTTAAGGAATAGTATTTATTATGTTTTGGCATTTGAGATTCTTCCATTTGTAACTTTTCTCTAGTGAATAGTTGATTATGTTTTTAGTATTGCTATCACTAATTTTCCATATATTTATTGTCTTTTGGTCATGAGTTCCACAGAATATCCACATGAGCAGAATTTGTTATCTACCAGTTCTTTTCTTTTCTGTCTTTTTTTTGAGACAGAGTATCGGGAGAACCTGCTCCCGATGGTTACGTGGGTTCTTTTCTATTTCCTAGGTGTCTTGGCTGGTTTCAGAAATAAAGGGAAAGAGTATGAGAGAGAGAAATTTAAAGCTTGGTGTCCGGGGGAGACATCACATGTCAGCAGGATCCGTGATGTTCCCAGAGCCGTAAAACCAGCAAATTTTTATTAGCGATTTTCAAAAGGGGAGGGAGTGCACAAATAGGGTGTGGGTCACAGAGATCACATACTTTACAAGGTAATAAAATGTCACAAAGAAAGTGGAGGCAGGGTGAGATCACAGGACCACAGGATGGGGCGAAATTAAAATTGCTAATGAAGTTTCGGGCACACATTTGTCATTGAGAACATCTTATCAGGAAACAGGGTTTGAGAGCAGACAACCTGTCTGACCAAAATTTATTAGGCGGGAATTTTCCTCGTCCTAATAAGCCTGGGAGCGCTACAGGAGACCGAGGCTTTTTTCATCCCTTCAGCTTGGACCATAAAAGACGGCACACCTTAAGGGGGCCATCTACAAACCTACCCTCAGGGCATATTCTCTTTCTCAGGGATGTTCCTTGCTGAGAAAAAGAATTCAGCGATATTTCTCCTATTTGCTTTTGAAAGAGGAAAAATATGGCTCTGTTCCATCCTGCTCACTTGCAGCCGGAAGTCTTATCTCTGGTGTTCCCTGAGCATTGCTGTTATCCTGTTCTTTTTTCAAGATGCCCAGATTTCATATTGTTCAAACACACATGCTCTACAAACAATTTGTGCAGTTGACACAATCATCACAGGGTCCTGAGGTGACACATATCCTCCTCAGATTATGAAGATGACAGGATTAAGACATTAAAGTAAAGACAGGCATAGGAAATCACAAGGGTATTGACTGGGGAAGTGATAAGTGTCCATGAAATCTTCACAATTTATGTTCAGAGATTGGAGTAAAGACAGGCATAAGAAATTATAAAAGTATTCATTTGGGGAA